AAGGGAAAAGCAGAGACGAATTTTTGAGGGTTGTCACTGTATATGAGTGCTCAAAAAGCTTTCTCTAAAAATATGACCACAACTGTTGGATGTGGATAATAGATACAGTTTACAGTACGTGTGTGTCATGTTGATAAACATCCTAGGATTCGTAAGAGCAATAGAACAACAAATTGTGATAGTTTAGCTAGATCTTGACAGCTATGAGCAAGAAAAGCTTTGCTTGAATGTTAGCAATAATCCATGGCTAATGGAAACTGCATGAAGAAAGAGGAAGCTGGATGCTATTTTTTTTTTATCAGAAATTTTGATCATGAAGCATTTTCACACCAGAAAAATAACCAAAAAGGAAGAAAAAACAAGCTGTGGTCAGTAGAGGACTGGTTTGAATTTAAGAACTGCAACATGTCAGCTTTAAAATTGTCCCTTCAGGGCTTTTCCCAGTGCCACTCTCTGTAGAAAGAAGTGATGAAAGAACCAAGATCATGCAAGGGAGCAGCAGTTATTACATTTTTCCATTTTCAGCTGACAGTCTGCTGATCATCTTAAAGAGCTCAAAAACTGCTGGAGCTACCAATAATGTCCTGGAGGATAGTAGCATTGCACTGTGTCTGCTTTTTCTGAACACTAGCACACATGCTTGTTATATTCTAACCTTTTCAGCTTTGTGTTCTTAGTCTTTTCTGCACACCTGGAGCAACAGGTGGTCACATTCAAAAAGTAACATATTCATTCCATTTAAATGTATCAACAACTGGCATAAGACCTTGAAGATAAATAAGGTTAAATCAAAAAGTGTTTACATGGTTTTTGACATGTTGGATGTTTAGAGGAAGATGCAAACATCTTCCATAGAGAAGAAGAAACCACAGAGAGTGATATATAAATGCATCATGACCCAAAATGATCATTATCATCAGCAGAAAAATCAATACAAATTTTGATATCTTGTGTGTTCACTTTTATCCCTGCCTAACAAAATATTTTACTGATTCAGCTTTCAGAGGTGGGGAACTCCTATTCAATCGGAAAGCATAAACATGAGATTCTAAACGACTTGTAGTGTTTAGTTCTGTGCTGCACAAGCATAAGTACTCACACAAAAGCGTGGTAAACAAAAGCCCATTCCCTCGGTCTTTCCAAAACGTTGTAGAGGTAATTCTGGAGCCGCCGGTAGCGTGCGTTTCTGCGGTTGCTCTGCGCGCTGTAGGTCAGCGGCTTCCCCAGCAGACTCAGGCGGGCGCCCTGTTTCCTCTCCGCTCCCACCGCACCTGCCGCGGCTGGAGACAGGAGACCGTCCCCGACACCCACAACGTTATTCATAGTCTGCCGTCCGCACTCCACATCTTTTAGTGGGTAGTCCTGCCCCCGACGTCCAGTCGAGGTCTTTAGCCAGATCCCGCTGCCGCCGCTTTCGTCGCCGGTATGACTTCGCGGCATGGCATAACTAGCGCAAGCGTGGAGTGCGCTGGGAGACCGGCAGGCATTCACGTGTACCCAAGTGCTTTTGGGCCAGAGGGTGTGTGGCTACTTTGACTTTCACTACACACTAAGTACAACAAAGCAGTGGATGAAGAGTTAAATAACTAATCTATTGGCTGAACAGTTTCACGGTCTGGCTTGGACACTTTGGCCATCTGCGCGAAGCTGAAGAAGAGTTGGGTTATGAAGGTGTGGATCCATCGATACATTTGACGGGGGGGAGGGTTCTCCCACACTCTCTTTGTTACTCAACTCACTCTCACGCCGGTTTGGCTCTTTCTGGCAAAGTGTGTGAAGCCTGCCGGTGCTCTGCTAGTCATGGTGCTCTTTTACGCATCAGACGGGAAGGGCGCAGCACCACCAGCGCCACGAGATTATTAGATATCGTAAATCTGGACTTGAACGATAGCAGATTTTCAATCTGGGTGATAAATGTTAACCGAAGAAACGTCAAGAGAGATATATATGCACCGATGACGCAGATTTTACGCAGGTGATGAAACTGCCCAATAACCCCCCAAAGCGTGATCACTGTGCTTGGTTTATGTAAGAAAATGCATCAAATAGCAAAATAAAGATACCTTATCTACAGCTAATAACATAGTTTCTATGAAACGCTTCTACAAAGAAAGAAAGTCCCTCTGGGGGTAAGACTTTCAGAGGAAGTTAACTATGAAGTAGTAGCCTGTAAAGGGAAATACTAAAGACGGTACAAGGATTAACTTACACACATATGCCTAAATAAAACTTGAATGACTGCTTACACTTAAAGGAGAATGAACAGCACATTAACATTATTACATACTAGGAGAAACAGAGTTTACAGTAAACAGAACTGGACTCAGCAGCTGTAGACAAGATGGTCCGCTCGGTCCAAAACTATTTCCGCCCAAAACAGAATATGCTTTGCTGGTAACAGCTGCGTCACGCTCTTCCCTACTGACCGATCACGTGACCCGCGGAGAACTACTGCCTTATTTTCCACCTTTACTGGATACATCCAGTTAAATGTACACGATGTGTTCTGGGGAAAAAAAAACATGAATTAGGCTTAAATTTAAGAGCTGCAATTAATTATTTATTTATTTAATTGCTTGCTTGCCATAATAACTTAAACAACTCCACTTCGGTAGCCCTGAAGCTGAATGGTTTTTTACTCTAAACCTTCTATCTGATCACTTGTCTCTAACTTCTTTTGTATTTAATTACAACTAAGTATTTTCAGGCCCAACTTAACAGCTTTTGTATTAGTAATAGTTGTAGAAGTGATGGCCATCAGTTTCCACCACGTTAGCTAGAAAAACAATACAGTTATTATTCGCGTACATGGCTTGTTCCAGTTCCAATCCAAGCCTGACCTCTAGTGGTCAATCATAGGACGTACGGGGGTTACCCACTTCATGGCCTGCGCCACAGCGTCTATCTAGACCAGGGGTAGGCAACTCCAGGCCTCGAGTGCCGGTGTCCTGGAGGTTTTAGATGTGTCCATGATCCATCACAGCTTATTTAAAGGGCTAAATGACTCCTCAGCATTTCTTGAAGTTCTCCAGAGGCCTGGTAATGAACTAATCATTTAATTCGGGTGTGTTAACCCAGGGTGCGATCTAAAACCTGCAGGACACCGGCACTCGAGGCCTGGAGTTGCCTACTCCTGATCTAGACGTTCTTGAATTTTCTCATGAATATTTCCATTTTATCGTGGTTTTGACTTTTGATTGATTTGATTGAGCATACATGAAGAGATTTTCTTTCTTTCTTTCTCTCTGGTTTATCTCTATCAGTTAAAGTGTTTTATTCATATTTATTTTTTGATATAAATCATGGCTGGAGGAATGATTTAAAAATAGGAAAATGTAATTTCATGTTCATTTTTTTTATGAATATACACTACAGGTCAAACGTTTTAGAACACCTAAATTTTTCCAGTTATTTATTGCAATTCCAGTCGTAAAAACCCATGAATGGATAGCTTGAAATGGTACAAAGGTAAGTGGTGAACTGGCAGAGGTTAAAAAAAGGGTAAGTTTACCCAAAAGTGAAAGATAATGTACATTTTCAGAGTTATACAAAAAAGGCCTTTTTCGGGGGACACATAATGGGTTAACAATTTAAAGCTGTTCTGCAGCAATAGACGTTGATCAAGCCTTAAAAGCTGGTCTACTAATTCCTACAGGTGTTCCAACTTTTCTGGATTACTTACAAGCGCCTCTGTCTGCATAAAAGCAGTGTTGGAACATACTGTGGTACCATAGCCTCGTGAGCATCAGCTGAACAGTATTGTACTGCAGAAAGTTGTGTGTTGCTGCCAAAATGGCGAGAAAAAGACAATCAACAATGGAAGAGAGACAAAACATTATAACATTTAAAAATGTAGGTCAGTCCTACAGAGAAATTGCAAAGAATCTCAAAGCGTCAGTGAGTACAGTTTCCTTCACCATTAAAAGGCACTGGGGCAAACTCTGACAGGAAGAGGTCTGGCAGACCCAAAGCCATAACTGAATCAGGGGACAAGTTTCTAGGAGTTAACAGCTTGCGTGATAGGGGGCTCAACAGCTTCAAGCATAGCTTAATAGTGGTCGTAATAAGCAAGTCTCAGTTTTAACTGCAGAGAAGACGTTGAGCTGCAGGTTTGACAGGATGAGTTGCAGCAAGAAAGCCATTGCTAAGATGCCAGAATAAGACAAAGAGGCTTGTCTGGGCCATGAAATATCGCCGTTGGATTACTAAAGACTGGAAGAAGGTATTATGGACTGATGAAACAAAATTTGAAATCTTCAGTTCATCACACAGGATCTTTGTACACCATTGAGTAGGCGAAAGGATGGTTCCACAGTGTGTGGCATCAACTGTCAAACATGCAGGAGGAAGTGTGATGGTCTGGGGCTGTTTTATTGGATCCAGGGTCAATGACTTGTACAGCGTGAGAGGCACCCTGAACCAAAACAGCTACCACAGCATTCTGCAGCGGCATGCAACACCCTCTGGGCGGCTCCTAGTTGGTCAGGGGTTCATCCTACAGCAAGATAATGACCCACAACATAAGTCCAAGCCATGCCAGAAACTTACTTAGGAAAAAAGAACAAGACAGTAAGCTTGAAAGTATGGAGTGGCCAGCATAGTCTCTCCCATCGAGCTGGTTTTGGGACGAACTGGACAGAAGAGTGAAAGCAAAGCAACCTACATGTGCCCCACATTTATGGGAATCTCTGCAACAGATATGAGAAGAGCTTTCGATTTTTATTGTAATGTGCCACCGGGGTGTTCAGCTGTTATATCTGCCAAAGGTGGCTACTTGAGTCAAAGGTTTAGAATACATTTTGGTTTCTAAATTGATTCCATGATTTCTTTTTTAACTCTTATTGCTTATTTGTACTATGCTTTCATTTCAGAGCTCAATGAGACATTAAACTGCATAATTAAGGGTATTCAAGGATTAATCGGTCCTTTGAGGATCACTTTAAGTGCTCCGCTGTCTTAACTGGCACGACTTCAGGACCAAGGACAGCGAGACACAAATTTTACATTGGTCGATGACAACGTAGATATACATAGATATAAAGAGAGAGAATAGATGACCTATTATACTAGCAGCATTGGTTGTGTTGCAAGAAAACAGTGACGATATGTGAGAGAGCGACCGAGAGGATGGTGGCTATAGTCGGTGATAGAGTGTGTATAGAGAGAGAGGGAGAGAGAGACAGTGCAACGGTTGGGATTAGGTTTATATTCTGGAGGTTGGACGGGATTACGCAGCGCAATTCCCCGTGCTGCGCGGTGCTCTCTGGGATTCACCACACGGCATTTCTCAGTTTCCACGAACTGATCGACGATCCCTCCCACACCCCGCGGTCCTCCTGAGATACACTAGCTATATGGAAACATGGCCAACGTTCCGCAGATCGTGAAAATTGGGATTTCACTGAAGATGCTTCCTAACAACACAGCCGTGTACTTCAAATCCGACGGGACCCGGTTCGGACAGACCCGAACCATCAAGCTTCTGACCGGGTCGAAGTACAAAATCGAGGTTGTTGTTAAACCAGGAGCGGTCGAGGCCACGTAGGTAGCATGTGGATTTTCCTGACCGGGTCATAACCCAACCAAACTGCTAGGAAACCTATTAATCCAGGGAGGCAAATATCACGTCCAGATCACCATATTCTAAATCTATATTCTATTTTTGGAAAGGCCTAGATCATTTCATTTATCAAAGAGCGTCGCTGACATATTTTCAGGCATTCAGATAAACGTTATTGGAGGATGGCGATAAAAGCTCAGAAAGCCTTTCAAATAATGACGATTTTTCCTTCTGTCTGATTTGCTATTTTTGATGATATTTTCCTTTTAAATAATTATTTCTATAGCGACCTGTGGGGTTGTATGACGTTGTTTTACGAATATTTTATTAATCCTCCCTGAATTTACTAAATATTGGGACTTCTTTGTCGTATTGTTTGTTTCTGATTTAATGTATTTCCCATTTAAAGCGAAATAGCCTGCACTACAGCACCACTGCTTTTCTGCTTCATCTGCACTGAGAGTAATTAGATACATGTCTTTGTTGTAACTGACCAAGGATAAGGCAGACGCACTGATACCACTGACTTTAGCAGATATGCTGAAGAGAAGGCAAGTGCAGATTTTAAACCTACAGTCGATTACAACGATGTTCTGATGGTCTCTGTATTTTAGGCTTGATTTTGATTTTCAAGCCTAAAATACAGAGAGCCTAAAACAACACACCCCTTTTCCTCTTTTAAGTAGCTTTCAATAATA